ACCCCATCCCAGCACCCAACTAATGTCCACACCCCCCCAAAGGACCCCAAGATCTGCCCCCTTCCTTCCTTGAGGGACTCATGCCCACCCCAACACCCCAAGGACCTCAGCATCCACCCCACACCCTCCCCAGGGCACCTTCTCCTGGTGCCCACCACCCTGAGGGACCCCAATATCTGCCCCCCCTCCTTTGAGGGACACCTTCATGCCCACCCCAACACCCCAAGGACCTCAGCATCCACCCCACATCCCAATCCCTCCCCAAGGCACCTCCTCCTGGTGCCCACCACCCTGAGGGACCTCAATATCTCTCCACCTCCTTCCTTGAGGGACACCATGCCCACCCAACACCCCAAGGACCTCAGCATCCACCCCACATCCCAACCCCTCCCCAAGGCACCTCCTTCTGGTGCCCACCACCCCAATATCTGCCCCCCCTCCTCCTTTGAGGGACACCTTCATGCCCACCCCAACCCCCAGGGACCTCAGCATCCACCCCACATCCCAACCCCTCCCCAAGGCACCTTCTCCTGGTGCCCCCCACCCTGAGGACCCCCAGCACCTTGATGGTCTTGGTCTGCAGCTTGAGGCCGTTGAGGGTGCTGATGGCCTTGTCGGCGTCCCCCGCCTCCACGTAGTTGACGAAGCCGTAGCCCAAGCTCTGCCCTGAGACGTGGGGGCAGCATCAAAGGTGGCACCAGCCCCACGTCCACTCATGTCCCCATCTCCCATCTCCCACATCCCATGTCCCCATGTCCCCATCTCCAACATCCCATGCCCCCATGTCCCCATCTCCCACATCCTGTGTCCCACATCCCACGTCCCCATCTCTCACGTCCCCATGTCCCACATCCTGTGTCCCCACGTCTCCATCTCCCGCATCCCATGTCCCCATGTCCCACATCCCACATCCCTGTGTCCCCATATCCCCATCTCCCACATCCCACGTCCCCATCTCCAACATCCCATGTCCCCATCTCCCCATCTCCAACATCCCATGTCCCCGTGTCTCCATCTCCCACATCCCGTGTCCCCACCTCCCACATCCCCATCTCCACATCTCACGTCCCTGTGTCCCCACGTCTCCATCTCCCACACCCCATGTCCCCATCTCCAACATCCCCATCTCCAACATCTCACATCCCTGTGTCCCCATGTCCCCATGTCCCACATCCCATGTCCCCACCTCCCACATCCCACGTCCCCATCTCCCAAATCCCACATCCCGTGTCCCCATCTCCCATCTCCCACATCCCATGTCCCCATGTCCCCATCTCCAACATCCCGTGTCCCCACCTCCCACATCCCATGTCCCTGTGTCCCCACGTCCCCATCTCCAACATCCCATGTCCCTGTGTCTCCATCTCCAACATCCCATGTCCCCACATCCCCGTCTCCCACATCCCACATCCCCATCTCCCAAATCCCATGTCCCCACGTCCCCATCTCCTACATCCCGTGTCCCCATCTCCCACATCCCACGTCCCCACCTCCCACATCCCGTGTCCCCATCTCCCACATCCCACGTCCCCACCTCCCACATCCCGTGTCCCCATCTCCCACATCCCATGTCCCCATGTCCCCATCTCCCCATCTCCAACATCCCATGTCCCTGTGTCTCCATCTCCCACACCCCATGTCTCCATCTCCCACATCCCATGTCCCCACATCCCCATCTCCAACATCCCATGTCCCCATGTCCCCATCTCTTACATCCCATGTCCCCATCTCCCACATCTGGTGTCCCCATGTCCACGTGTCCCCATCTCCCACATCCCACATCCCCACCTCCCAAATCCCATATCCCCATGTCTCCATCTCCCACATCCCTGTGTCCCCATCTCCCACATCCTGTGTCCCTATGTCCACGTGTCCCCATCTCCCACATCCCACGTCCCTCTGTCCCCATCTCCCACATCCCATGTCCCCATATCCCCATCTCCTACATCCCACATCCCCATCTCCCACATCTGTGTCTCCATCTCCCACACCCCATGTCTCCATCTCCCACATCCCATGTCCCCACATCCCCATCTCCAACATCCCATGTCCCCATGTCCCCATCTCTTACATCCCATGTCCCCATCTCCCACATCTGGTGTCCCCATGTCCACGTGTCCCCATCTCCCACATCCCACATCCCCACCTCCCAAATCCCATATCCCCATGTCTCCATCTCCCACATCCCTGTGTCCCCATCTCCCACATCCTGTGTCCCTATGTCCACGTGTCCCCATCTCCCACATCCCACGTCCCTCTGTCCCCATCTCCCACATCCCATGTCCCCATATCCCCATCTCCTACATCCCACATCCCCATCTCCCACATCTCATGTCCCCACGTCTCCATCTCCCACATCCCGTGTCCCCATGTCCCTGTGTCCCCATCTCCCACATCTCATGTTCCATTGTCCCCAGGTCCCACATCCCATGTTCCTGTGTCCCCATGTCCCACAACCCACATCCCCACCTCCCACATCCCATGTCCCCACGTCTCCATCTCCCACATCCCCATGTCCCCATCTCCCACATCCCATGTTCCTGTGTCCCCATCTCCAACATCCCATGTCCCCACATCCCCATCTCCCACATCCCATGTCCCCATCTCCCACACCCCATGTCCCCATGTCCCTGTGTCCCCATCTCCCATCTCCCACACCCCGTGTCCCCGTGTCCCCTCTGCCGAGGTCCCGTCCCCCCGGTCCCGTACCGGTGACCTTGTCACGGACCAACTTGCAGGACTCGATGTCCCCGAGGCTGCCAAAGAGGCTCCTCAGCTCCTCCTGGCTCATGCTCTGGGGCAGGTAGTTGACGATCAGGTTGGTTTTGCTGTCGTCGGCCGTGGGGGGACCCGGGGGGGCCCCGTTGGGCAGCGCCGCCCCCACCCCTGGCCCCGGCACCGCCACCACCGGCACCGCCACCGGGACGGGGCCGCAGCCCGAGGGCCCGGGGGTACCGGGAGCCTGGGCCTCCACCGTGCTCAGGATCTGCTGAGGGGACCGATGGGAGTCACCAGGGTGGTACCGTCACCGGGACGGGGACATTGGGGACATGGGGAGGGTGGAGGGACACCAGGGTGAATGGGGGTCACCTCCCAGGAGATGGGGCCACCACGGGGTGGGGGGACATCCCTAGAACCATGAGGCCAACCCCAAACCCAGGAGATGGGGTCACCACAGGGTGGGGGGAGACCTCTAGAACCATGGGGACAACCTTCTCCCATGAGATGGGGCCACCACAGGGTCGGGGGACCATGAGGACACCCCACACCCATGAGATGGGGTCACCACGGGGTGGGGGGACATCTCTAGAACCATGAGATGGGGCCACCACTGGGCATGGGGACACCCCCAGCACCCTGAGGACACCCCACACCCAGGGGATGGGGGTCCCGTCCCCCTGTCCCCCTCTCCCCCATCCCCATGTCCCCATCTCCCACATCCCATGTTCCTGTGTCCCCATCTCCAACATCCCATGTCCCCACATCCCCATCCCCCACATCCCATGTCCCCATCTCCCACACCCCATGTCCCCATGTCCCTGTGTCCCCATCTCCCATCTCCCACACCCCGTGTCCCCGTGTCCCCTCTGCCGAGGTCCCGTCCCCCCGGTCCCGTACCGGTGACCTTGTCACGGACCAACTTGCAGGACTCGATGTCCCCGAGGCTGCCAAAGAGGCTCCTCAGCTCCTCCTGGCTCATGCTCTGGGGCAGGTAGTTGACGATCAGGTTGGTTTTGCTGTCGTCGGCCGTGGGGGGACCCGGGGGGGCCCCGTTGGGCAGCGCCGCCCCCACCCCTGGCCCCGGCACCGCCACCACCGGCACCGCCACCGGGACGGGGCCGCAGCCCGAGGGCCCGGGGGTACCGGGAGCCTGGGCCTCCACCGTGCTCAGGATCTGCTGAGGGGACCGATGGGAGTCACCAGGGTGGTACCGTCACCGGGACGGGGACATTGGGGACATGGGGAGGGTGGAGGGACACCAGGGTGAATGGGGGTCACCTCCCAGGAGATGGGGCCACCACGGGGTGGGGGGACATCCCTAGAACCATGAGGCCAACCTTCTCCCATGAGATGGGGCCACCACAGGGTGGGGGGACACCCCCAGCACTATGAGGACACCCCCAGCACCATGAGGACACCCCAAACCCAAGAGATGGGGCCATCACGGGATGGGGGGACATCCCTAGAACCATGAGGACACCCCAAACCCAGGAGATGGGGCCACCACAGGGTGGGGGGACATCCCTAGAACCATGAGGACACCCCACACTCATGAGATGGGGCCACCACAGGGAAGGGGGACATCTCTAGAACCATGAGGACAACCTTCTCCCATGAGATGGGGCCACCACAGGGTGGGGGGACACCCCCAGCACCATGAGGACACCCCAAACCCAGAAGATGGGGCCACCACGGGGCAGGGTCAAGGAGAAGGTCATGGAGATGGCAGCGGGGGGGG